AGCAGTTATTGTTTGGAGGGAGAGTCCCCCTCCAAAAGGGTCTCCTTCAGGGGTTTCTTCTCTTCTTTGCCTCTTAGCTGCAGGCTCAGTTCTGGGGAAAAACCTCTCTAAAGTCAGTTGTTTTTTCCTGCACTGCATAACTTGTGTTAATCTAAGAAAAGGTCACCAATCATTCTTATAATCATCTTGTGTTAATCTAAGAAAAGGTCACCAATCATTCTTATAATCATCTTGTGTTAATCTAAGAAAAGGTCACCAATCATTCTTATAATCATCTTGTGTTAATCTAAGAAAAGGTCACCAATCATTCTTATAATCATCTTGTGTTAATCTAAGAAAAGGTCACCAATCATTCTTATAATCATCCATATTCTTGTCATTTAACCTTACGGATCAGTTAAATGACAAGAATATGGATGATTATAAGAATGATTGGTGACCTTTTCTTAGATTAACACAAAAAATAACATTGTATATATAAAATGTAGTTGTCAAATATCTAATTAAACAGAAATAGAGGAGATATTTATCAGCACTAGTAAAGATGTGAACCCCACTTTTAAAATGTTCTGTTTCCTTTCTTTTTTTTCTTTTTCTCTTTTCCTTTCTCTGTATTCCTCCTTCTTTACCATGTTCCTTCTTTTCTATGTATATATTGTTCTATGTTATACTTTTACTTATATATTGTTATACATTAATTGTGTTTTGTATGTATTATGCAATGTCTTACATGTATTCATTTGTTATTTTTAATTAATAAAGTTTAAAAATATTTAAAAACAACAATGTCACTGCTCCACCTGTTACTGCTGTTGGCTACCAAACAAAAAGATGCATTAGCATCATCATGAATCAGTTCAGAAAGATCAATCCTTTCCACCACCATTTTAATTATGGGGGAGGGAAAACACCTGCTAGCACTGTGAAAAACATAGTCACTCTTGGCAATAAGTTGACTGCACGTATCACCTTTGCCCCAATTGCTGAAACCCATGTTAACTAGTCAGCATGTCACAAGGATAGCAAAGATGGAGAAGAATTCATCTCCATGTTTCGCATTTTCCCAAGATCTATTCCTAAAATGTACTGATTGGCTCATTTTTTGATTTTCAGAGACTTTTATCAACAGACTAATAATAATAATCTGTCATGCACTCAGCAGGTACATGTGAAGGTAATTGGACCAGAAAACATAGTAGATGGAGACCAGACCCTCATCCTTGGATTAATGTGGATAATTATCCTCAGATTTCAAATTTCATCCATCAGTCTTGACAAGGTAAAATTGTTATTTAAAAGCTCCCCACTTTTTTCTTTCTGATTATGATCAGCTGGTATCACCTATTAGCCTAATAATTCTCCATCAGTCTAAAATCTGGCATAACATTTAGGAACTCAGAAGAAGCAGAGAGGTGATTGTACTCTGCAGGAAATTGCATGGTACTGTTCTCCTATAGAGCCAGTGAACAGAGCCTTCATACAATGATAGTGAGATATTTAAGTTAATATTTATATATTTATATTTATGTTTAGGTTTGTTTATATTTATATATCATTATCATCACCATCATCATCATCATCATCATCACTGAAATATCATCAGTCTCTAGTGATGAAAGTAACTTAATCTGGAATAAATCCTGTCACACTTGAGACTTCTGAATCCTCAGAGGGGTGCTGCAGATGCATAAAAAACCCACCTTTTTGTATTTACAGCTAACTCTTAATCATACGATTAACTATAATTTACATCTGCATTTATTTCTATGGGTGGCTACTAAATCCTTAAATCCTTTGGTTCATTGTGGGATTTTAGAGTTGCTGATTTAGATTTTGATTGTCCTCCGAATGTTCCTGCCTTGTTGGCTTTCTATAGGATGAGTTTGGATCCAGAGTTGATACTCTCTCTTCCAATGAAGCTCTACTGATCTGGTGTCAGCGTAAGACAGCCAGCTATTCCAATGTCAATGTGAAAGACTTTTCCAAAAGCTGGAGTGATGGGCTAGCTTTCAATGCTCTCATTCATGCTCACAGGTAAGGAAAAGCATGGGTTCGGTCTTTCCCAAGTGTTCTGATACATGATTAATGTATAACTGAGAAAGATACTGAAAGATAATAGACAAAATATGACTTTCAACTGGAAGTAACATAATGAAGATTTACAGGGTTATGTGTGGTATGGAGAAACTGGATAGGACAACTTTATTTTTGTTTTCTCTCTCTCCTATATAGTACTAGAATACAAAATCATCCAACCTGAACGGCCAGAAGTTCAGGACAGATATAGGAAACGCTTCTTCTTTATTGCTGAATTGTGATACTTATTAGAGCAAGTAGTAATAAGATAAGAAATTAAATAATGTCATGGAGGATAAGCTATCAGTTGCTATTTTCAAGATCCAGGGACGCATGCTTCTGAGATGAGTCATTGGTGAGCAGGAAGAGTCAGGACAATTGTGCTCATGTCCTGGCTATGGTTTTTGCACAGGCACCTGGCTGGCCATTATGGGGAAAGAGAATCCTCTGATATATCGAATACATGCCGAATGTCCATTTTAAACAAGAGAGATGTTTTCTTATTGTGCTCAGAAAAAATACTAGAATGGGAATTTTTAAAATGCTCCTTTAGAAGATACAAATCACAGCATTTCCATGTCTTCTAGAAGGCAAATTAAGTCCTTAATTTCCCACTATTTTTTCATTCTTATGGAGCCCTCCAAGTATGCCGAACCACGTAAGAAACTATTTTGCTTTACCACTGCATGTATAGATGGCTGCATAAATGCAGCTGTATGAATAATGTTGAGCTTTAACTTCCTTAAAGATGAATACAAATGTATAGTTCATCTCACAAATTATTTCAGATTGCTGTATCCTATCTCTTTAAAGTCAGGTACAGAAAATGGCATGCATTACTCCATATCATTCAACAGATTGTATCTGTGTTTTATAAAGTGGATCTATATTCTTCAAAGCTTCTGAGGGGAGCTAATAATATCTATAAGATGGGATGGATGGCACACCCAGGAAGTTCTGAAACTCTTCATCAGCTATTGGAAGAGTTACTCTAGGTCACAAACTTATTACAAACTTTAACCACAGAGACATACACAAATGCACATTCTCTTGACCCCATCGTAGCAACAAAAGAAATTGTAATTGTATGATGATACTATGAATTCTTAAAGTGCCTAATCCAGTCACAGAAGAAAGATATATCTCAACTTTTCCTCCATCAATATTGTACTACGACTCCTATAATCCCCAGTCAGCATGTGCTCACTTCCTGCTTCTTGATGGTGCCAGGCTGGAGGATAGTATGGTAGAATGGCATATCTCTATTATCTCCTAATGAAGAACATGAGATTTGGTATCATTGCAACATCCTGAATTTTGCCTCATTCATTAAACCTACTTGTAGCAATATGTCTGAATATTTGTGGTAACTCATGGAAAATCAATTCCTAGGATCCTGTAGGAATCCTTTTAAAATTATGTTGGTTTCTCCTGTTTTTCTCTTAGTGTTTTTAGACATTTGCTACTGTTTCAGTAGGCTATTGGCACTGGTATCAGAGGTGTGTGTGTGTGTGTGTCAAAATCTGCAAAATGGCAGGCAATACGACATTGCAATCAAAGCCCCACCTCTTTTGTATGGGTGTGTGACATTGGTGCATAGTGTATACAAAAGGAACGGGGCTTTGACGGTGACCCAGTACCTTCCATCCTGCAGATATTGCTGCAGCTGCTACCGTTCATTGAATTTCCAGCCAAATCTGAATGCCACAGAAAGAAAGATAGGAAGTTCAGTTCAGTTTGGCCCCCTCCAGCCCTGATTTCTTTCCTTTCCAGCAGCGTGTGAGAAAAACAACAGAATACATGTAAGAATTCGTGTCTGAGCCTGCTTTCTTCTCTCCCCAATATCTGTATTTTCTAAGACTATGCAGAGATCTAAATTTGAAGGGACAAATTGATTCAAAGTATATATGGATTCACGGGCTGCACCTGCCAGGAACCTCCTAAAGCAAAAATGACATGTTTGATTTAAGAGGCTCTGAATCACCTTCTGCCCTTCAATCTCTGCACCTCCCTACTGTTTTTCTGCTATTGTTTATTTTAGATTATAAACCTACTGATTTTATCCATGCTGCACTTTCCAACCAAAGAGCAGGATAATGAAATGAAAAATGCTAAACTAAATAGTTTCAGGGCCTTTTCAGGGACACTGGAGCCTAATATGTCCACTTCTTTGCATTTTCTAAACATAATCCCCTTTATGCATTTTCCCTGTTTTTATTTGTTGGTCTCTTCAGGCCTGATCTCATACAGTACAGCTCCCTGCGGCATGACCAGCCTATCGTTAATCTAAATAATGCCTTCACCGTCGCAGAGAAGCACCTGGGAATCTTAAAGTTGTTGGATGCTGAAGATGTGGCAGTCCCATTTCCAGATGAGAGATCTATCATGACCTACGTGTCCTTCTATTACCATTACTTTTCCAGGCTGAAGCAGGGTCAGACAGTCCAGAAAAGGCTCGCTAAAGTCAGTGTATTGCTGTTTTAGTAATTAGCATTCCTAATGTCTGGTATGTCTTAGGTAAATCATTCTTGTGGCCCAAATAGCACATGGAATCAGTGTTAATCTTTGGACTCCATAATTTTCCATAGGCAAGAAATGTCTAAAGCAAAACCTGATTAGAACCAAACAGAGGCTGTTAAGATGAAACTTAGCTGAAATACTATAGATGTCTGACAATTTTGGACTGAGAGATTATGGCTTCTCAGCACCTGTGGGATGGAATACATGTTCCATGCACTGACATAAGGTAGCCATTTGCAGTCAAGCTTTTCATTCATCCAGAAGTGGTATAAATATGAACACTTGCATGCTATCTTAATTTATCACTCTTTGCATTTTCTTCTGGGCAATTCAGCTGCATTACAGTGATAATTCTGTCTGAACACAATCCATTTGTTTCTAGCACTGTGTGATTAGCCTCAACTTACAAAAACATATTGCACTTGGATGTTTTCTTCTTCATATCCAGGAGAAGTTCTGGAAGGAATTTTGGACTAGGATTGTGTTGAATGCATATTAATGTGGAGGAATTTGTGGACCTGATCCAATTCACAATTATCTGTTGCTGATTTTAGCTGAAGACTTAATACTCTGAGATCCCATGATGAATTGCTCATGGAACATGTAGTTTTGCTTTAAAGGCTCTTGGATGAAAATCTGGCTTCACTGAAATTGAGAGTAGAATTCCACTGACTAGGATTAGGGAAAAAAATGTTGTGTTCCTCTTTCTGCAGATTGTGTTCTTCCTGAAGGAGACAGACGAGTTAAAATTCCAGTATGAATACATGATCTCTGAACTCTTGAAATGGATAAAGCTCAAAGTGGCAGAACTGGATGACCGCTTCTTTCCCAATTCTCTCGAGGAAATGCGCTTCCTCATGAATAACTTTAAGGTCTTCCGCACTGTGGAGAAACCTCCCAAATACCGTGAGAAGGGAATAATTGAAGCCAATTTTTTCCATATACGGACCAAACAGCAAGCCAACAATCAGCGTGCTTATCTGCCCCCTGAAGGAAGAACTTTAAGAGATCTGGAAAAAGAATGGATTGCTTTGGAGAAAGCAGAGGACAGCCGAGGAAAAGCGATACAGCAGGAGCTGTTAAGGCTTGAGAGAGTTGAACAACAGGTCCAGATGTTTCTGAAGAAAGCAGCCATTCGTGAGGCCTACTTAAGAAGCACCAGGGAGATAATCAAAAAGCAGGATGATTGGCAACCTGACAGCATAGAACAGCTTCAGGCAGGTGCTAGGAAACTAGAGGCGATTGAAGCAGACATGCTTCCCCGAGACCAACGCTTCAAAGCCTTGTCTACCATGGCCTCTGAAATCAGGCGGGAGAACTATCGGGACAAGGACCTGATTGCCAAAAAGTGAGTGGGAAGCCTTCAGATTGGGGCATTAGCCAGAACTGGTGTTGGAGAGAAGGAGAAGTACATCATGGGTGTTTGTTAGCATGAACTAATACAACTTCCACCTGTGGAAAGAGTGAATTCAACTGATTATATTAAATTATACTTTGTATTCTTCCAATAACAAAAATGTTAGGGCAGATAATAAAGAAACAAAAATAAAGTGCAATCACAATAGTAAAATATTTTAGTAACTAAAGAATAAAGTAGGCACCAGTTGCTAATATAATGCAAGCACTTAAAATTTCAAAATTACACAAAATTACACAACTCTAACATGGCTACAAAGGGATGAAGGTCTTTGTGTGCGTATCTATCTACATAACTCCTTTTCCTATATCTTATTTTCATATGCTATATATTTTATTTGATGGGTTTTGAAGTATGTAGATTTCATTATCTTGCCTTACTGTATGCCTATACTTTTCTGTGGATTTCCATCTTTCCATGTCCTCATTTTTTCCCATGCAGTTAATGTTGTAAAGAAGGTATATGGAAATATATCTCATAATGACATCAACAGATAGGATAACTTGAATTGCTCATTGGTGAAGTCTTGTGATATATCACGTTTTTTTCTCCTTTTTGCTCTCTTCACATCCAGGCAAAAGGACATCATTCAGCAATGGCAAGATCTCTGCGACCATCTCAAAAGACAAAAACATGCTATGGGAGAGATGCAGGAAGTGCTAGTCCTTTTGAGGGACATTGATACCATTATGGAAGAACTTAAAGGACTGCAGGTATATTGAGTTATTCATTCTAAAGGTAGACATTGGTGCATATGGTCTTTGAGGGACAAATAATGCCTGCAATTCATAGCCTGTTGAAAGAGAATGAATAAGGATGTGTTATGCAGATGGGCACCAGTAATGAGAATTTGAGCTTAAACCATGGATTGTAGCTATTCATAAAAATCTATTCACATGTCTTTGGAGGGATTGTCTCCATTAAATTAGAAAGGTTATGTGCTGAAAGCCAATGACATGTAGGAATGAATATTGTGCAAATATGTCAAGCGCTGTTAATTGGTTTCATTTTTCTGTGACAAAGCCTGGCATGTATAAAGCCCTTCGAGGCAGACAAACTCAGCAAAGATGAACCATTTGGATTCCTGTAAATATCTTTATTGCTAGTAGGAATTGTAACAGAACCCTGAAAGCCTGTTTAAACAATTCTCCAGCTTAATTTATACTTAGCAAAATTAAGGCAGAGTTACTCCAAGTCTCTTTCACATATGTCCCTTCTTGCTAGGGCTGAGGTGTCTGTTTTGCAACCATTTTCCTCCTCCACTTTCCCAGGGTCTGTTAGACATTCCATCACAGCACAAGATTTTACGCAATCATTTATTAGGACATTTCCCTATATCTCAGTAGATGGCAGTACCTGGTAACTTATTACATCATGATGATGATGATGATGATGATGATGATGATGATGATGATGGTGATGAGCATAAGGCAAACTTTCCTGGTCTACTTGGTTCACAACTCTTGTTCTGCTCCCCCAAATATTAGAGGGCACCAGATTAGGGAAGGATGGTGTAGAGCATGATTACTCATATTTTTGATCATATGTGGATTTATAATAGATATTGTCACGATTTAGCAAGATGACAATGTGATAATAAGCATCTATGGTAACTATTACTTCATAAATGCTTTCTATTCTCAGGCATTAACTGTGATCATACTAATATAATTTGCTTGCTTTGAGCTTGATATATAGTGTGAACTTAGCCAATGTCTTTTTTAAATCATGGCTTATGTCTTAGTATAATGTATGAATCCAACCAATTGTAGTAATTTATTTAATGTATTATATTTCAAGAAGCCATGTTTGAATTAGGAGACTGTCTGCAAGTGAGTAGCTGAAGAAGATACAAATTCTTTTTATTTCATTCTATTTTCAGACTTTAGTAAACTCTAAGGATTGTGGCAAAGAGCTATTAGAAACAGTGGAATTATTACAAAAGCACAAATTAGTTGCCTCCCAAATCTCTTCTCTTGAGAAGAGCATCATGTACATTGCTAAAAAAACAGAAGATATAATGAAAGGTAAATCAGTCAAATCAGATATGCTTCAAGACAAATATCAGATGCTTCATCAGTTGCATCGGAATCTTCAGGATCTCTGCCAAACACGGTAAAATTCTTGTGAATATTGATGAATGTCATGGTTTAGTCTGCAAAAAGAGAAAGATCCTGATCTTAGATTGGGATTCTCCATGCATACATTATGCTTCCCCATTCAAGGTACTCATATGAAAGAAATGAGAGACCATGGGGGCCCAATTCCCTCATGTTAACCCTATTCATTTTTGTCAATGATTAAAAAGGGCATGTGTGTGAGAGGCACTATAAACAATCCACAAGTATTCTAAATTTTTTATATTGGGGCAAAGGACAGATTAGTTCTGGTTCCCTAAGAATGACATTGGCAAACATACCAAGCTCTTAAAATGAAGCTGGGAAGAATAATTACTTTGGCTACATCACATCATGTGTGCACACACACACATATATATATACTTTATACTAAACACTACTAAATACTAGGCAGATCTTCAGCTACATATTAATACAGAGTGAGCATGAAAGCAATAGGTAAGAAATCTTAGCCTCTAAGGTTATGTGGGGTGAGGATGGGGGTTTGGTTTTTTGGTTGGGGGGGGTTGGGGGGGTTGAACATGTATTTCAATTTGTCCTGGCGTTCTTTAAGGTTAGAAGGCAATTTATTTACCACTTTCTTTAATGCTGTTCCATAAACAAAATTTATTAGGGGAAAAAATCAAGTTCTTTGATATAGAGCTACCTTTTATTTAATGCATTTCAATTTTGCTGAGAAATGTAATATTAAATTAAGTGACACACATAAGATTTTTCCAAGAAAAGGAAAACATAGAAAGGTAGAAGTATAATTTTTTCAAATCAATTTATAGTAAATATTAGCGAATATTTAGAAGACTCTTCCGTGGTTTCTCAATTACGTATTTCTTCTATTGTGTGATTCTGGATCCTGAATAAAAATTAGATTGGAACTATACTATATTCTGATAAGTTGGAACTACTAGAAAAACCTGAAATAATCTCCAGTTATAACCATCGTAAAGTACATAATTTATTCCTTTGGTTCAGGCAATGTCATTTGGAAGGGGCTTTGAAGCTTTTCGAATTTTTTCACGAGTGCAAAGAAGAAGAACGATGGTTGTCTGATAAATGGAAATTAGTGAAGATGGGAACCTTAGGAGATGATCTCACTCATATTGCAGTCTCTCTCCAAAGCCATAAGGTTAGTAATATATACATTCTTTATCATTTGTGCAACTTTACTAGAAGTCCATACAATAGCTGTTAATGGAACTGTGAGACTGTATTTCTCATTGTTATCACTGATAAAGTCACACGGTGTATTAGAGAAGGAAAACAAAAATCTCACTAGCATTGCTGGACAGATTTCCCTGAAGACTCTAAGAAGCACACATTATGGCTACTATTTTCTTTTCTTTTTTTAATAATATTTTATTGAAATTTTAAAGTTACAAAGTTAAAAGTTAGAAATGAAAAAGAAAATTGGAAATACAAAATATAAAGAAAAGGAAGCGTGAGATAAAGTAAAAGAAAAAGAAAAAAGATATAAAAAATAGATAACTTCCAATCTCTCTCTGGTCTTAGGAATAATAAGACTATCATAGGTGCTAGTTTTTAATACATTAAGTAGGAATAATTCTTTGTCAAAACATATCCCATTACATTTATATTCTAATCTTCAAATCCCCATGTTAGCTTCACCCCACCTGCATTTTGCAAATAGTCCATCAATGGTTTCCATTCTTTAAGGTAATAGTTATTTGAGTTTTCTTTTAATAAGCAAGTCAGTTTATCATTTTCTGCCATTTTATGGTTACTATTTTCTGATTCCATTCTTCAAAAGTCTCCTTCAGTATTTTTATTGTCATAATGTTTTGTAACATTTTACAGGCTTGTAAATCTTTCCCCTACCTAAAAACGTTAGTCCCCTCTAGTGTCCATGTTTTGAAAACATGAAATTGCTTATCTTTCTTATGTCTTGTAAAAATCAAAACAGAATCTATTTCCCATAAGAAGCTGTTTGTTCTTTATAACTAATTCCAAAATCTTATTGTAAAAGTTTCAATATTCCAATTTTATCATGTCTTGTAAAAATCAAAACAGAATCTATTTATGTCTTGTAAAAATCAAAACAGAATCTATTTCCCATAAGAAGCTGTTTGTTCTTTATAACTAATTCCAAAATCTTATTGTAAAAGTTTCAATATTCCAATTTTATCTGGACTCATAGTCCATTTATAACTTTCTAGGATCAAAATTTTATTTGGCTTTTTGCTATTTATTTCAGATTCTTTAAATTCTTAAGTTTATGATTAAAATTTTCCTTCATTCAGGATTGAAGGCAGACTCATCCAGCATTTTCAAACTTGTCATTCCAAAGGTCTCCAATAGCTTGGAAGTAGTTAATGAGAAATTTCCAAAAGTGGGTAGAAAGTGAGGTTTGCAAACTTAGTGCCCTTTAAAAGTCTCCACTGTGGTTGCAAGCAAGATGGCTAATCCTGTCACTTCTGACAACCAAGCCTGCAGAAAATCATTGCCCTGTGGTCTCCTTGTGTGGAGAAGCCATCCAGAGCACATGTGGGTGATCTCCCATACTCTCCTAATCCAGAAGAGTTCCATGGGACTGGTCTACTCATCTGTTCCTTGGTCTTTGCTGTGGTCGTTGGTTTCCCTTTTGCAGAGCTGTCTTCAGTTTCTGATACTTCCCCTGGAAGTCCCCTCTCTTTCTTCCTGCTTTTGTCCACCACAACTACCCTGTAGTATAGTTTGGCCTAAGAGAAAGTGGCTAGTTCTAAATCACCCATGGCTTAAGGTAGATCAGAAACTAAGGCTCCCCAGTCTCAATCCTTAACAACTATGTCTTACTGGCTCTCTATGGTTTTATAGCAGCTTTCAGTAATAACCTTCCAACTTCTGTCTGGCAGTCTCTCCAGGCTGAGTGTGACTCCCATCAAGCTATTTGTTCTAAAATAATTTGCAAGGGCCAGGAGTTAAGCCAGAACAATCCTTCAAACCAGGATATTCAGAAGAAAATGGAAGATATCCAGCAATTGTGGCAACAGCTCCAAGATGAGGTGACCAGTTGTAAGATCCGTTTGGATACAGCTGCTCTCATTCGACAGGTACATCAGTCTCCCCCTTTGTCCAAACAAGGTAAAAGAAGTAAAAAAACTAGTAATTGTTAACCTCCCCCTTGGATTCTTCAAGATACTTTGGGAACCGGAAACATCCTTAGATGCTTCACTATGATTGATATTCTGCTGTCTCCATGGGGTTTGGATATTTAAAATTTTTGATAATGTTTTTATTTTAATAATCACTTTCATCTTTTTATAATGATTGCTTTTTTATCTGTTTGTTGTTTTATTAAATTGTTGTATGCCACCCAGAGTCGCTTTATGTGAGATCGGTGGCTATATAAATGTGACTAATAAATAAATAAAAATAAAATAAATACTCTATCATTATAACAGGAGTGAACTATCTGTGGGATAGAGTTGGCCTACTTAATGGTTTTTATGGAGCTGCAGTAAGTGAGGCCACTGTGCTAGCTCACAATTTTCTGCGGTTTTTACTTGTCTGGGTATGGGTGTGTGTTTTAGGGTTTTAATCTCTTTTTTTTAAAAAAAACATGCTGAGTGAATTCTTTTTTTTTACTTCAAGCGTGCTATCAGTTTTACCAGGTTTGAGGAATTTTTATCACTGTGGGCAAAATATAGCTCTGGGCCCCCAGATTGTCCTCCTCTGCAGTAAGCAATAGGCATTCCCCAAACAGAATCTAAGAAAATGTTTCTTTTCCTTTGGATAAATTATTCTGTAGTGGAATGTTATCTGTAGGTACTACAACAATACCATGAATCTGTTTTTCCCTTCAGTACTTTGCTGATGTTGATGAGGCTGACTCCTGGCTTCAGGAAAAGCATACTCTCCTAGCTAGCAAAGATTATGGGAAAGATGAATCTAGTGCAGAAGCTTTGTTGCATCGTCATCTTCATCTGGAGAAGGAGCTTGCTGCTTATGCTACAGAAATAAGCCACTTGAAAGAACAAGCCCATTCTGTGGCACAGCAGGCTTCACTGGTGGTAGGTAGCACCCAGGCAATCTTTTTGTTTTAAGTTACGTAACTGTCTGCCCGAAATATATGTGAACTTATTGATGTACCGAAACCAGTGTTTTTCAAACTTGGCATGCTGGCCAGGGAATTCTGGGAGTTGAAGTCCACATCTTAAAGTTGCCAAGTTTGAAAAACATTGACCTAAACTAAGCAGATTCATCTCAGATTGCCCTCCTCATCCATAGCATATTTGTTTAAAACAAATTCTCTTCCATTCCAGTGATCTCTGATGAAATTTTTCTCGACAAATGGCACTCTTTCCTTCCTATATAGGGCCTGACATTTTAGCCATCAAGGTTTCATACTTCCATATGAGAACTCTATCCTGAGAGATTTCTTGTTACTCCATAATATTGAATTCTCCACTTCTAAAATGGGAAATTTTCATTTTGAAAGTATGAAGGGGAAAGTTATTTATTTGGGTTGTATGATAATGTAAATGCATCTACATGTGTATTTGTGTTGTGATTAGATCCCCGTTCATTCTCTATATGACCAAATCACCTCCTTCTTTCTTCTGTACTGCTCGCTCATTCTTGGCTTCAGTCCACATTCACTTGCCACCCATTTATTCTTGAGGCTATCTTTTCTTGTTTCACCACTTACTCCTTCAGTTACTCATTTTCACTACATTCAGCTTTTATATTTTTGTTTCTTTTGACGTTTATTCCTCACAGCAGACAACATTCTATTTATTACTTTTCTAGCAACATTTGCACGTTTAAAATTTATCCATTCATTTTCCCATCCTTAGTAAAATTCTACCAAGACACACAGATTCATCTACTTGCTCTGATTTTCTATCATTTTTATAGCATGCAATCATTCAGTTTTCTCTGTCAAACAAACCCATGTCTTTGATTCATTAATTTTCAGATCCACGAAAATTACACGATACAATCTATCTAACATCTGCTGCAGATCATTCAGAATAATTCTTTTCACTCTGTTCCAACTTTCCCATCTTCTTCCCTTATGTCCTCTTTTCATTCATTCTGTTGAACATTAACATTTCTTTTAATACATTTTCATATGTGACTTGTAGTTTTTCTTCTTACAGTTACACTTTTACTCTACTGTCGTTTGTTTCTCTCACACCTCTCCTTTAGTTCCATGTCTACCTTTTTCTCAAAATTCTATCTTAACACTATCAAAAAATATCTGTCCCACATTCAGAACCTCTCATTAGTCTTGAATCCTTCACTAATTCTTTCAACCTTTCATCATAAATAATCAAATCAGTTATGCCTTTAGATTTATAAACATCCCTTTGCCATGTGTACCTATGGATAGTTATGCTTAAATCACAAATTTGAAACAAGGGTATATTTTTCTAAGCAGATGCTTACCAAACACATTCATTCGTGGGTCTCTGAATGGGCCAATTGTTTCTTCTATACTCTTATTCCCATTCATCCATTCATGTAACTTAGCTAAATAATTTTTAGCCTGAACTGCATTCCTTTAGAATATTGCCTAATTTTCCCCTAAATTCATCTCTTGTTCCTCCATTATCATTTACTAAGCATAGCATGCAACTATCACCACCCTATGGACACCTACTTTCATATGCACCTGTAATGATCCAATAACATCAAGTCATACATCTTTTCCCATTCTCTTAGGCCAGATCCATCTATTGCTGATATAGGCCACCCACCATTTTCTGAGTACAGGAATTAACATCATCCTCTGACTGCACCCAGCCCAATCCAAATGCATTTCCTATCCATGTTTTGAAGCTCTGCTTCAAAAGTACTGTTTTCCATTCTGAGCCATGTTAAGCCATACCAAGTGGTTAATCTACTGCCCTTTATTCCAGTCTAACAGCATCCCTGGCTCCAATTGGCTACAGAGAAAACATCTGCAAAAGGAAAGGAAAAGAGGCAGGAACAGTCTCTAAAAAGAGATGGAAGACACTGGTAGACCTACCCACATGGGGCCAGCCAGTGCACCTTGCTTTCTCTGTGCAGATGAGAAAGGCAAGAAGCAGGGGAACAACCATTCAGGGCTTGCAGTAAGCATAGTCCAGACTCAGTACCAACCCAACCCAACCCAACCCTACCTTCTTGTCAAATTACTGCAATCTGGATTGAAAGTGGGCTTCAGGACAGCATGGGACACAAGTAGCCTGGGCTGTCATGTGGAACTGACCTTAGCCTCATAGACATAGGAAAAAGGGTTTTTTCTTTCTTTCAGTTCATTCATTAATTCATGCTTTTTACCATTTTCTCCTCTTATATTCCAAGTTGCAATCTTCCATATGCCATAGTCCTTTTTAGATAGGCCTATACATATTGACTTCTGCCACTCTTCATTGCTTTGGTCAACTGATATTTTCACATGACACTTTTTAGTAGGATTGAGAAGGTGGCATCTAGGTTACTAGCCATAATTGTACCCATGCCATATGCAATATTCCCCACCAATGATAAGGATAGAACTGGTCAGTTTTGTAACACTTGGCCAGGATGTCATGAGTGCATAGGAAATGTAACTAAATCTAATTTACTCCAATACCATTTATTATACCTCTCTATAATTTTCTATCCTTGCAAACAACCCTTGCATCCATACACCATGGCATAAACAGAAATAACAGCAATAAATCAAAACCAAATATTATTTTTTTCAAGATATTGAAATATTTGTACACAATCCTTATTTTGACTCAAAGACATTCCCTGAATTCCTTTCTCCATCCCCATAAAAACAAATTAAATAATGCATAATTTACTACCTTTCCTAACACATAAACCTTACTTTCTAAGGAAGTCTCATTTTATCTTGTTACTATAGTGAAGTATCTCTGTTTCATAAACACCATCTTTTAGATGCACCTGATTTTGTAATACTTCTCAATCTCTAAGTATACAGATGAAGCTGGAACTAAGCATATTTAGCATTTGTGAGTGATAGAACTCAATAATGAACATGGAATTTTGTGTCTATTTCTTCGGGCAGATGGCATCTGTGCCAGCAGCAAATTCAGAAATCAACAACCAGAGATTAACTAAAACTCCATCAAATCATTATCTTTCACAGACTCTTGCGAAACCTACATTCACTGGACAGTTTGGCTCTGATTCACACTTGGTTATGGAAAACATACGGAAAATGCAGCAGAGCATTGTTTTGTTGTATGAAAAACTGCAGACCATGGCTGAGGTACCTTTTTTTCCTAACAATATGCTGGATTGTTTTCAACTTTTCTCTCTTTAGTGAAATATTAGACAGGCACATTTCAGTCTTTTGAGTTTCATTCAGTCATTTAACTAAATATGTGGACAGCTCATAACAGAGCAGGATGAGGCAAGTTTAGATGGGTGTGTAGAATGGTGGGTTTACATACTTGGGTTTTTTTTAATTCAGTTGATATTTCTGACTAATTTTATTGCTAGAATACTTTCTTTACCAGCAATGCTTTAGTGCTTATTCAAGCATCTCTAATTTCCTCCAAACAGCATAGGAAAAAAGAGTTAGAAGAAAGAACCCAGCTCTATCGGTTCTACAACTCCTGTGAAGAGTTTCAGTCTTGGATAGATGACAAAGAGAAAATTTTCCAGACCATTCAGCCCAGAGCCGACAATGTGGGAGCTATGCAGCATAAATTCCAGGTCCTTATTCACGGCTTACTCTGAGTTTCTGATTTGTTTTCATTGCAAAAGATTACCATTCACATGAAATATTAAATTTTGGTAAAAGGATGGCAAGATTTTAGTCTATGGTTAGACCTCTTGTTGTCTGGTAAACCTCCGAAGAAGATCACTTGAGCTTGTTCAGAGTATGAAATATTCATTGTTAGTCTGTAGCAGCCAAAACAACAAAGAGACTTAAGGCAATTGAAATACCTTTAAAGACTGATTATGGGATAAGCAGAGGATCTACAAGTTATGGCAAAAAAAGTCAAAATGGCAGCCATGAAAGTGTGATCAAAGCTCTACCTGTTTTCTATATGTGTTGCGTGTGTATCTTGACTTTTTTGAGCCACACCTAGCAGACATCCCTGGGGGATAAGCATTCACCCATTTCATCAGATGCCTCCTCAAACACACACTCACTGGGAAAATGGTAACTTGTGAGGGTAAATAGCACTGCAGTACAAAGCCCAGTGCAAAGCTTAAGCAAAGGGATTACTCAGAAGAACAGCAACTGGTAATAAACCATTTGAGATTTAATAAGCTCAGGGTTAGCTGAAAAGAGCCAGGACATTATTATTTCAATTCAAAGCTAAATGGTTTGTATCAGATATCTTAATTAACCCTAATGCAGGAATGTTATACTGGATTACTCAGTTTTAGAGAGTGTTCATGCTTTTATTCCTGAAATGGCGGAATTGATTTGTAGTTTTTACACAGAAAGTAATGCTAGGAATTCTTTCATTAATTCAAAGTTACAGCCTCAGAGAGGACACATCTGGAATTTTGAGAATATGATAAGGGTAATCTCACAGAATGCTTCCAGGGGTGGGTGCGGGGGGAGATTTTCCTAATCATAAATTATAAACTGTAATTAACTAGAAGGCAAACTGGAGGCAACAACTTTCATTAAAAAAAAAACAGGGAGGCACTGGTAGGCTTTAAAACAGGTACAGGTACAGGTAGTCCTCACTTAACGACCACTCATTTAGCAACTGTTTGAAGTTACAATGGCGCTGAATGAGATTTACAACCGGTCCTCATAGTTGCTGCTGTTGCAGCATCGCCGCAGTCATGTGATTGCGATTCAGGTGCTTGGTTCACAATTATGATGGCTGTAGCATCCCACGGTCATGTGATCACCATTTCCAAACTTCACTGCCAGTTTCCGACAAACAAAGTCAGTGGGAAAGCTGACAGGAGGTTGCAAATGGTGATCATGCAATGTGCTTAATGACCACACAGGATTTGCTTAATGAAGGCAACCAGAACTGCTGCAACTGCTGTCATAAGTTGGCATGGTCACATGACGTCACACTTTACAACTGCATCGCTTAGTGATGGAGTTGCTGGTCCCAATTACCAGTCCCAATTACAGGATAACCTGTGTCTGTGGGCATATTAGGTCCCTATGCCATCTACTGTTTAATGCCGAGCTCCACTTAAAAAAAGGAAGGCATGAAAAAAAGCAGAGAGGCTCTTTCCAGACAAGATAGACTGTGTTCAAACAATTTTCAAAACATATCCACCAGCAGCAAGCCATGTTCCTCAGCTCTTAGACTGGGTTGGAAAATGGCTCTGTGTTTTTTCAAGAGAAGCCCTAAGTGGAAAGCTGGAGGAAGGAGAAAAGCCAGCTAGCTCTCTTTCCCACTCCACCACCCAGCTCCCTCCCCTAGTAGCACATGTTTAAAACAAATAAAACCAGGAGCAAGTTTTGACAGATAGCTAAACCCACTGGTATAGCCAAAACTCTGAGCCCCATCCAGTGTTACGGAGTATGACTATGGACCCTTTGGCACCAATATTAGTGTTAATTTTAACGAATCAGTTTGCCTTGTTATAACTTATCAAACTTTTTCTTTTTATTATTCTATCATTAGTACCTGTAAATTGCATAAAGTCTGTCTGAATTAACAAATTAAATGAATAAATGCTGGTAAAGTTTTCTGCCCATTGAAGACCTGAGTTTATCCTGACCACTTTAAATTGGCAGTAGGGAGAGACCTCGGCTACCGAATTAAAGTGGTATTCCTGATGTTATCTTCCATTTGTAATCCTCCCATTTTTCTCACCATTTCTTCAGACTTTTTTTTTTTTTAATCACAAAAAAATCTGTTAAGGAGTGAAAATGGAACAGCTGCCCATTAGTTTTGGCTGGTAGTGCCTGAAGCTGTTGCATCTGGAAACATTTTATTTATTTTATTTATTTATATTTCAAATTTAGATACCGCCCATCTCACAAAAAGTGACTCTGGGCG